AAGAAATCTATTTCGTGAAGGATTACGCCAACTTGAATCTGAAAGTTATAAGTTAAAATTTTTTTTCTTTTTTTTAGAGGAAAAAACGTCAAAAATTTTTGTATTCAAGAGTCTAACCTAATCAAAACAATAATTAATTTATTTCGTGTCATTTTTTTACCCGAATTATGTACGTCACGAATTTATTTCACATTTAAATAAATCTCCGTAAATGAGAGAAAAATTTATTTTCATTATTTTGTTATTATTTGGTTATATACTCCAATCATCACAAATAATTCTCATTGAAAATTAGAGATTTTTTGTTGGATAAAAAAATTATAGGTTTTTTAAAAAATTGGTAGTATCGCTTACCTTATCTTTTTACTGTAAATAAATGTATAGAACAAATAGTTCCTGCAGTAAAAATTTAAAATTAGTCGAATAATATTGTTACAAAAACTGTATAACGGTTAAAATAAAGAGAAATCAGATTTACTTAATCGCTTAAAATTACGAAACATTATTTATAGACACAATCTAGTAATGAAATGTATTTTATTTTTTTTTTTTATTTCATTTTTGACTTTTAACAAAAATTATATGACACTACTAGTATTTAATTTTATTGTAGATACCTAATAGTAGAATGATTTCAATTAATTTCGTGTAGGTCTAAATTATTTAATGGACTAAATAGTCTTTTGGATTAAGTAGTCGATTAAGTTGGGGCTGAAATGAATTTTTTAATTAATATTTTTTTTACGTATACTACAATACGTAAAAGTGAAATTCAGATTTAAAATTTTAGTAATTTATGGACATTTTGGTAAGTTAAAAAAGAAAACACTAATTTATTACATCATGTACATCATAAGATGACATTGATTGCACATGTCTCATTCAAAGATTAAGTTTCTATTCGTAAAATGAATACTTAATAATTAAATGAATCAGGAAATGTATAAGCAAATCGTTGACGATCTCGACATATATAACGAAGACACTTCTCACTGTTAAATCAAAATTCTTTAATTTACATATGCACATAGAATCCAGAAACCAAAGGTTTTCCAACTAAGACAATTGTTTAAAGTTACAGAAAAATTTGTCGTTTCCTTATAATATTTATCAAAATTTTTTAGTTAATGTATCCGTCGATAAAGGATTTTAACTTTAAGTCAAAAATATCTCTGGTTTCTCCAAATTGAACAAGGCAATATTTGCACTTTTAATCCATTATTAAGTACATACACAATAATGCCATTTTAATGAACAAGGCACAAAGAGAAAAATTTTATTAGGAAGGGAAATAATTTTTTTTTTTTTTTTTTAAATAAATTATCATGTTAGCGTAAATGCTTTAGTGCGTGTTACGTAATGCATCACGAGCATAAATATTTAATATACCATTAAGACTTAGTTTGCTATAAACGCAGAAACCACTTGTCAGGAATATTTTATTCATAGTTATTCAAAACGTAAAAACAATACATAATATGTCACATTGTAAAACATATGTATAATCAATATCGCATCCAACTAGCGATTAATTAATAATTCGTTCAGCTGCGAAACGTCCGCATCAAATGTATTTATGAGTTGATAATGTTTATTGGTTCAGCTACGTTTTCATGCTATGCAGTAAATAAGAAAAATGAACGCGTCGTGCCAAAGAAAAAATAGATTTTATCAATTAAATCAAATGAAGTAATGAATAATTTGATTTTTTATGTTATGGTATACATTATTTTTTACTCAAAATCATTTGTTTGTGTATCACGTTTTTTATATTTCTTTTATACTACACTAACATTTATCACGATGAATTTATTTCAAAACTAATATTACTTTATCAATTGAACTATTACATGAATTATGATTATTTTTAATGTGAATTTTGTATAAAATAAATCCTTGTTGCTATAAATTTAAGTACTTTTGTCATCAAAAATACAAAAACGCATTTTAAAATTTCTCAATGAAATTAAGTGCCATTAATTTTTAATGTAAAACAATTTTAAGATATTATTTGTTTGAAATTTTTACACTAATACCGTAAAAAAAAAGCTAAAAATTAGTTCACGGAATAAGTAAACTGATACTGACATTTTTTATAGGAAAATTTGATTTAAACCTCATACATTATTATTGCAGTGGCGGTAAATGCACATATGTTAAGAATAAAATATTATACTATAGGTTGTTTTCCATCGAATGTACGTAAACCAATGTATAATAAAAATGCACACGTGCATGACCTTCTCGAGATGCTTAAGCCTGTCCATTTTAAATACTTTTGCATCAACCTTGGCCGGATTTTTTCACAGTAGAGCCATTTTCATCGCATTTACAATTGACCGTTTTCAAATATACGCTTTTTTAAGAAAACTTGTGATGAAAGAAAAGTATCGGTTATTACTAATATTTTCCTTGAAATCAGCTGAACGAAAAATAAAGAACTTTCAGATTTTATTTTTCCAATGAAGACACATGTAGTCTAAGCTGGTTTTTAAAATTATAACCAAATATAGCTTTTGACAACAAGTTAAAAATAGAATTTAGTTTACCATTAACTGTTTGTAAAAGTGGGTAGTAACACTCTAATAAAAGTAAAACTTTTTTACTTATTAATTTTTTTTCATTTATCACCAAGACCTCGAGTTTAATCGTGGTAACAAAATTATCATACAGTAAAAAGAAAAAAAAAATATATAATNGCTCAATACTTCAAGGTTCTCTGGACATCGAAAAGTTCAAGGCATTTTATCTTACTGTTATGAATTATTACATATATTACAAAGAATAATTGAAAAATTGGTTCACGTTTCAATTTCATGTAAATAGTTTGTTTCTTTACACGAGTTAATAAGATTATCGTTAGAGTAATTAAATAATCTTAGAATTACTAATAAATAATGTTTATTGAAAAAAGCACTAAGAGTTACCATGACGCCTGTTTGAAAGTTGACGTTTTAAGAGTATTTTCAATCGAAGACATCCACTTCATATTTAACTTTTTTTTTTTATATTACATTTGGTACATACTTAAAGGCAGAGTATAACTATAACTAAAAACTTTATTATTTGTAATTTTCTTCTAAAATTAATTTAACATTTGAATATTTTCCAAACAAAACTTTTGACCAACTTATAAATTTGATTACCACTGTACTTTTTTAAATATCTAACTTTAATTTTCTACCCTTTCTCCAAATTAAAAATTGTCCTTTATTGTATAAAATTATGCTCTTTAATTACGAAAAAAAAACTCTTTTGTCCTTTTATCTTGGGTCATCTTATATTATTGTTAGTTTTATCTAAATTGCATCCTAGTAGAAGCACTAAATAATTTATTAAAAGGCCTACATGTAATGCACTCTATAGCCTCCTTTCCATGTGGATCTCTTTCTGGTAGTAATTCAGAATATCATGTTAATAAATGTTGGGATGTCAGTACCGTCTAAATATATTATGTAAAAGCAGAAATTATTGTCACGCTCTACGGTGCTTCACAGCGTACTTATAGCACATATATTTCATAACCTTTTGGGGGATTCCCCCGATTCACGCGCAATTCGAGTGTAGTTCACGGCCAGTCGCGAGAACCGTTCTCTATAGTCAACCTATACAGTGTATCCTTGTTTTGCCGATCTCGCCTCTGACGTGAGTAACATCATAGGAATGTGTTTTATTTTTAATCAAAACGTAGATACTATTAGCGTGATTCCCTGGTTTTTTTTCAGTAATTGCGGTTTTACCATTTGTTACTACGAATGGAGACGTCAAGTTTAATGTTCTGTATCTGTCAGCAGCAGATTGTACTTAATCGCTAGGAGTATAAAGACATCAAATTTTATGTTATGTATCCGTAAGCACTCAATTTACCGATTGTTATCTATAATAGACGAGTTTTCACATGTAGTCTTGTTGTGTTATTGAAACATGCTAATAAAGACTAATGGAATATCAAACAAAGATTATTAAAATATCAAATTAAAAATGCAAAATTTAAATGGCAATTTATCGCACTCGATTTTTTTTTCAATTCATGGATCTCGTATTGCTATCATTACTATTATTATTATTGTTATTATTATTATTATTATTATTATTATTATTATTACTATATTGGTTTTAAAAATAAAGATTCGTGGTGTCAAAGTTATATTTTTCATCCACAAAGTAGAAAATTTCGGAGATTCTTTATTTTTCTAGTTCGTATAGGATTAAATCATATCGTTGCAGATGGATAATAAAGTAAAGTCTCATAATATGTATACGATAACGTCATATATTTTTTTTCGTACACCCTATCAAACGTTGTTTACCAGCAATCTATGGTGTCTAAAAAACTTTGTATTAATTAAATATGTACCAAACAAGTTTAACAGACCGGTTGCCCGTCTCGTATGTCAAGAGATAATTGCGCAACCGTCAAAAGTGTCTCTTCTGGGATTCAAGGATAAAAGTTTTAAATACTGGCTTTATTTCATCCATTACCAATCATTTCAAACTATTCGTTTTAGTAAAAAAAAAAAAAAAAGAATTACAGTTTATTAAAAATTATTTTGATTTAGATTTTTTAAACATCCATACAATTTTAATGATCCTCTTTGTTACGAAAACTTGTTCACTGCTCGGATCAATCAAGTCACTCAAAAGCAACCGTCTATACGCACATCGGACAATCTTCACCGCGTGACGTCAATATTGCATCGGACTGTCATCCCACCTCTCGTTATTTGCTTCGAGTACTTACACACCTGCAGCACGATCAATTACTTTGCGTCCGCAAACACGAGATCGGCACAAGATCTTCCCGACTCCTTTAATGTAACTATCAAACAATAATTTTTCCGCCTGTGCACGATTTTTTTTTCTTCTTTTTTTTCCAACTGTGCACGTATTGTGTCATGCGATTCAATTACAACTGCATTAGAACAACAAATACTTCAAAAGGCAAGGCGGAAAAATATTTGAAAATCCAAGCTGACTTGCTTTTTTGCTTCACGTTTAATCATATAGGTTTCAAATAAAACATTGTATTTTTACTCTACTTTTACAAAAACATCGTTAAACTATGGAGTAGGTAATTATTATAGACAATGACGCTTGAATTTTATTTCTTTTCGTGCGAAGACGTCCATCAAAAATGCTGTTCTTCCACGTTCTTTGAATTACCAAAGTGCTAAGTTACATGCATGAATTTTAAAGTGCTAAGTTGCATGAATGAAGGAATCGCACGTAAAATACCTGCAGAGATGTATCGTAAAACGTAAACAATAGAGAAAAAAGTAAAAAAACTTGAAAAGTGACTGAATTGTTATCTCCACGAATACCCTATTTCGAAAAAAATCATTTAACATTTTTTCACTTTTTGCAATCTTCATTTGAAATTCATTGCACGTAATACTAGAAACTGCTTACTTGGCGTTGACATTCGAAAAATCATGTAATTAAATGAAAAAAAAATTGTTTAATCTAATTGTTAAAAAAAAAATTGACAAATTGACTCATATGCAGTTACACAATAAAAGCTAAGAAAAAGAGTTCCAAAAAGGCGATAACTGACAAAAACATCAGTAATTATTATTGTCATAATAACTTGCGTTATAAGTTTTAACGTTAACAGTGTTAAATGTTAAAATTACTTAAAAATAGAACGATTCAGAGCTACCATATACCTTAGGAAGAGCATCTATTGTACTTTTTTCGAATACATAAATGATATCTTTACTATCATATGTGCACCATCGTTTAAACAAATAATAATCCAACCCTTTTGCTGTGAAACGTTAATTTAAAATACATAAATGTACAGTGTTACTCGCAACTAATTGATTTGAATAGCACCTAAAACCTTGCAATACCACAACTAAGATTTTTTTACCATATAAAGACGGAAGTGTAGATTCGACACATGCGTGATTAAACGTGTATTGTAAACACATGCATGCATCCTTTGATCGGCATGGAATCGCTAAAAAAATGTGATTATACTCACCTCTACAGGTTGGCCTTCTGTGCTCCAAGTTCTCAAAAAAAAAAGCACGTGGAAACACACACGCGCGTAAGCGTTGAAATTCAAGCTCAAGTCAGGACGCGCACAACGAAGGAAAAAAATCGAAAAACCGATCTCCGGTTGTCGCGCAGCGACGTAATACTGAGACTCCGACGTACCAGCCGATCTCTTTATATTATATGGTCGGCTGATTTTTACGCGCCGGCGCTCGTGACGCGTTAACTCTTCCTTCTTTTTTTTTTTTTGTTTTTTTCGTCACAGGTGGATTTTTGGAAGTTTCGGGATCTGCAGGGCTAGACGCTGAACTGGTACCAATAGACCTTCAGCTCACGGTGTAATGGTAGGACTGATTCATGAATATACATTGTACATTCGGTAAGGATTTTTGGCTAATACGCTGCGAAAAAAAAAAAAGAAAAGATTATTAAAAGTGCTCTTTGGCA